CACATTCGTGGTCGTGCCTCATCTTCATGGTGGGTTTCAGTTTGCTTCATGTATGGATTGGAGGGGTTTAAAGTGGCTAATGATGCAGCTGTGGTCTCGCTTTTGGTTTGTGGTCATGCCTCATCATCGCTATGGCTTTGGGTTTGCTTTTTGCATGGATGTGTGGTGGTGACATCCTGTGTGGTTTTTGTGAGGACATGAAATTGACTTTAAAAATACCAGAACTATCGCCAAAACTGAAAATTTTAATAACAGAATAATCAGAGAAGCCATTGAGATAGAAAAACGCCCACACAGCATGAACAAACGAGATGATACCTCCTGCCTACCAGCCATTTGGAAACCCACCCTCATTGACAAATGACTCCCTAACACAAAGAATGACACCAGGAAGTTATAAAACTATAAAAAGTTTTAATAGAATAAAACCAAGCTTTTGCTGGCTTCTGCCAGCATCATCAGGGTAGCGTCCAGTCCACCTGCGGAAACATATGCCCATCTCCCATGGGCGCAGGAGCCTATTGACAACCAGGAGCCAACTGCCGATGAATCGAGGGTCTCCTCAGGAACAGCAAGGAGTTTGACAAAGAAGCGATCTTGTATGGACCCCAGACTATTAAACAACCATGATTCGAATGATCAGAATGTCACGTGTAACTCCATCGGCAACTCTGCAACTAACTCCGCCCATGACATTTCCCCATTGAGCTGCTCTCGCCTTGGGAATGCAGGAGAACTACGGGAAGATGGGGAGACTGTTTGTTATAATCTTAGAGCCTCCACACGCTCCCACAGACATTTGAGAGGAACGACCCCCTGTAGGAATGTACAAGGAGATGCAAATCATGATCGCAAGGACCCCTCCTCTCTCCCTTTAAGGAGGGTTGCACACCCCCATGTAATGAATGAATGTATAAACAAAAGTGAGGGGGGGACTTCCGGTGGCTGCACCGGTGACGATGGTGGCTATCTGACAGCCGTCCGTCACAGGGAAGCGTAAAAGCTGGCAAAACAGCACCAATCATCTGTTTTGCGGCTTGAAATCTTCCTCCCGGGTGAAGGGAGGAAGGTGAGCCCTTGTCTGGATAGAGGTAGAGCCTCACAAGTCTCCCAGTGTTTCCCTGGGAGATGAATAGTGAGAGCTCCCTCGGAGTCTGGGTGCTGCTCCGTTTTCCTGGATGCCTTTGTTCTCCGGCAGGAGAACGAAGCTAGATGCTGCCTCCACTGCTGCTGTTTAAATGAATACAGTAAGTCAACTTAAAAGCAGACAGAGCGGTCAGGAAGATAAGAATTGGATGATTTTATTTTAAACCTAACTCAGTGTGAATTAACATCTTCTCCTGTTATTATTTCAATTGGAGTGAAGAAATGTAGCAGAGGAATCCTGCTTCTTTGTTACTTTCTTTGTCTGAGAACTTTCACTTTTTACTTTCCATTCACTATCTTTAATTGGCAACAAAGTTTGAACAACATAACAGACTTGGTTTACCTAAAGAAATTTTTTTTCTTTTAAAGGGGGAATTGCTTGTTCTTCTCCTTTATTCTTATTTTACTACTTTTTGAAAAAGGAAGGGGGGGGAACCCTTTCTTTTTTTTTCTTTTTAAAATGGCTTCAAAACGTCCTGGACCTTCTTCTCTTCCTAAAACTTCAACTGCCTCTCCAGTAACTCAGACTGTACAACAACCTAAACCTTCTCCACATTTGCCTCCACCTCAGGCACTTACACTTAAGGATTTATAGGATGCTTTAGATAAGACACTAGAAAAAACAGCAGAACTCCTGGCTCAAAAAAGTAATGAGCTCAGGGAAGATATTGTGTTGGCACTCCAAGGGCTTGCTAGCCTTGTGGAAAAGATTGATGACCGGGTGGATGAAGTGGCTGGAAATGTTGAAATATTACAAGATAGAGTTGAAAAAATAGAAGATAATGTGGATGTGGCACAGAATGAAATTATAATGTCACAATATAGAGAAATGGAGCATGCTTTGAGAATAAGAGGCTTGAAGGAAAATGTTCAGGAGAATTTGAAAGAAGAAATTGCAGTAGAACTGGCTTCTATTTTGGAACTTGATCCTGAAGTAATGTTGAGAGATATAGAGAAGATTTTCAGAGTTAATTCGTGGGTTGCAAAACAGAGAAAATTACCAAGAGATGTGGTGGTTTATTTTGTGAGAAAATCATTTCGTAATGAAATTATACAGGCCTTCTATAAACAAAGATTTCAGATTGCAGCTCAGGATGTGATAGTTTTAAAGGAAATACCTTCCAAAATTCTCAGAAAAAGAAAAGACTTCGCTTTCTTGGCAGAAGAACTTAAGAAACGACAAATTCAATTTAGATGGGATATACCTGTGGGGATAGTGGTGACTTACGTTGGCACACGATATCGTCTTAATACAATTTCAAAAGCAAGAGATTTTTATGTTACTATTTTAAAAGGAAGTCCACCACCATCTCCAAGATCAAAAAAAGATGGGAGTAAGGCAGAAGCACAGTTGGCTGTAGGTTCAACGCCATTTTTGGGAGAAGAATTATTGGTTGAATCTATGCAACAGAATTTGCAAATAACGGAAGACCCAAGGGAACAGAGAATTACACGTGCTGCTTATAAACACAGAGAAAGACAACAACAACAACAACAGCAACAACAACAAAAAGTAGATGATGGAGTCTCATCACAGTCTACTTCGGAGCCAGTGGGAGGAGCAAAGCCAAAGAGGTCATCGACTGCAAATCTAGAGGTTTTGTTCCAAAGGCTTCAACCTGCCAAGAATGGCAAAGCTTCTAACCTGGAATGTTAATGGGCTTAATTCATCACAGAAGAGAAAGAAAATCTTTCATTATTTGAAACAACACAGAAATGATATTATTTGTTTACAAGAGACTCATATTATTTCTAAAGATCAAAAATATTTGTTTAATCCCGGGCTGGGGATACATTTCATAGCTCCTGCTTTGCAGAAAAAAGGAGGTGTAGTTATCTATGTGAGAAAGGAGCTTTCACTGAAGTTAATTGATTCTGATCCACAAGGAAGATATGTTATTATTGATTTATTAATAAACGATAAGAGAACTCTTCTTGTCAGATTATATGCTCCCAATCAACAACAAAAATATTTTTATAAGATGATTCACCAGAAATTAACTTCTTTGGATTACAAGTCAGTTATTATGATGGGAGATTGGAATGGTGTTTTAGATTCAAGCAAAGATAAGAAGGGTTCTTCTAAAGTTTCTAATCATGCAAGACTTCCTAAAGTTTTTTTTTTATTTAAAGGATGATTTGGAACTTAGAGACATTTGGAGAGAACGGAACATTGAGGAAAAAGATTTTACCTTTTTTTCAGATAGGCACCAATCTTATTCTAGAATTGATTTTTTCTTGGTTACTAATGATTTCCTTTCTAGGGTGAAGAATATCAAGATATTTCCTAGAATAATTTCAGATCACAGTCCTGTATGGTTGGAAATGTCGTTGGAAGAAAGGACTAGAAGATCTTGGAGGTTGAATGAGAACTTATTTAGATATGAAGAGAATATACAGCGATGTAGAGGTTATTTAAAGGAATTTTTTGCTTGGAATATGAATAGGGGTACCTTGATGCCAATGGTATGGGATTCTAGTAAAGCATATATGAGCGGGATTTTGATCTCTATGAACAATGCTCATAGATGTAAACAGATTCAGAAACGTAATCTTGAGGAAGAGATTAAATGTAAGGAAAAGATTTTAATATCAAACCCAATGGATAATAATGTATCTATTTCAAGGTATTAGTTGTTACTTTAAAAAATCTAATGGGGTTGGGAACTGGGCAACTGTGAGAGCCTGTATCCCAAGTAAAATCAATGTGCCAAACAAATGTAAATCAAAAGTGCTGCTGTAAATTCCCTCCCATATCTGGACATTTGGTCAGAGGGGCTTGGAAATAGGCAATATTTGTAGAGAACAGTCCTTCCTATTATGGCTGTCATGACTTTTTGAAGTACATCAAGACCTGTCTTTTAATTATTTGTTTTATTGAGTGAACTTTCCATGCCATGAATATTGTATTATGATGCACTGTTGTATCTTCATCATTCAATATTTGTATATAGTATTTTATCACATTTTTATTAAACATGTACCTCTTAAGACTCAGAAAATGAAGAAATATAATAGAATTATAAATAAATTTAAAGGGTAGAGGATTCCTAATTCGGCTTTAAAAAGTATATGTATATGTGTGAAATATTTATCAATTTATAATAAGAGCACATTTCTTTCATGCTCAATCAAATGGTCGAAACTTAAAAAAGGTAGAACTTATTCTTCTATTTAATCTGAAATTATTCAGTATGGTTTTACTATAAATTGAGAGGAAAATCCAGTGGGATGTTTCCAGTAATAGAAATCACTCCATCAGCAACTTCAAGGTTTCTGATCCTCAGGGGTAATCGTTTTCAGTTTATAGAAAGCTTTAAAGAGAAGAATAAGAGATAATCAGTTGCCTAAAATATGTGGATACCAAAGGCAAATTATATATGTACTTTGTGTGGAACCAACTATAGACCTTCAAATCTATAAACTTTTGGCTACCTAATCATTCGTATTAAATAGCTTTCTCTTTTTTGGGAGGACATTTATCTTTAAATTTAGCCACATTTTTCAGTTAATTATATTTCTTTTACATCATAATTATAATTTATCAGTGATTGCTTCTGGATTAGGCTCAGATGAATTGTTTTAAGTTAATGTATCCTATGTTTCCAAGGTCTGAAAAGCCAATTGATGAGGAAATTTACTGAAGTGAAAAGTTAGTAGAAGCAGAACTCTTATCACTACTTGTATGGAGTTTAAAATGGGGGAAGTAATACTACATTTGATAATGTACCTTTTTATGCTAATTTCATATTGAAATGGAAAACAAAAATTTGTTAATTTCAGTTATATTCTTTAGCAATCTATTTATTGTTGTCATGTAGTTTGATTATTTTTGTATTTGTTTTGTTTTTTAG